CAATTGTCGAAGAATACGTTTTGAGTGGGTCACCGACATAAGTAGCTTTGTTCCAACGATTGAAGTACTGAGAAGATGTAATCAACACAGCCGTTATTTTGACGGAGATCTGTTTGCTCTTCACGGGTACCAGCAGCTCCATATAGAACGACTGAGGTAAGTAAATTGAAGGCAGTTAAGATCAGACTGATCCCTTTATGATCGTCGCATTCCAAACCGTAGCTTTCCTTACAATTTCCGGTCTGTTGGGACATCCTCCTGCCCTCACGGCTTCACCAGTAAGCTGCACCAATCATCTACAAAAGCAGCTCCCCCGAACTTGACCAGGACTGGAGGACGTCTGACTGCCTTATTCATTTTCAACATTTTGATTTCACGTTCGCTTTCTGTGCGTTAGGGCGGGTCCAAGGGAGATGGGCGAGCAATGGACGACAAAAAATTGGTAAGTGTCTGACTAAACTGCTTTTCTGAGTGTTCAGCACAACGCTCCAAGCGTTTTGACGAGTTGTGGATTGGGTGTTCACTCTCATCGCTTATGACCTTGCCAACACCAGGTCTCCTGCTGACCGTGTTCCGTATCAGACGGAATCACTTACTATGGTTATCAAGGGCAGCAACCATTTCCATCGCGACGCACAGCAAGACCACTAGACCTCGCGGTCCCCGTTCTGACTGTCACGCATTTTTACCCCAAGGTCTTTGCGAGCTTCGTTGTGTTCGCTTCCAGCCGAAACACTTCGGCAAACATCCAGGTGTTCCAGAGACTGCACTGTCCCTGTGTTCAAGCGGGAAATTTGACTGACCAAATGAAAACGTGCTTGCTGCTGATGAGGTCTGGCTAATATGCCCCCAGCGATCTTCAACTGTGTTCAGTGAACACCTGCACAACTCGCATGCCGGCGCAGTTTGATGTCTATTCAGGACACCTGGCTTGATCCTCTTGCTGGTGCCTGTGCGCTCGCTGCATCGTCATGGGCGTCTATGGAAGCAAACTCGGAGATCTGCACGTGCAATTACATGATCGGAGTCCATTCTCGTGCATCAAATCGGGCAGCAGTTTTGAACGCAGCTTGTACAACGGTAACTGAATGCGATGTGATCGATTTGCGTCCATGGTTGCTGCGAAACTTTTGGGCGCCATGTTACCCTTCTGCGGGTGCTGTGTCGGAAGTTAGTGCCCGCTAGGATTAGTCGACCATCTTCACACAGATGCAGCTACCGATCACGGTCATCATTACGGGAGCCTACACCGTGTTGGTCGCCCAGATGCAGCTCAGCAGTGGACAATTTTCCAATTTGGGCGTTCAGACCACCAGTCAGAACTACGGTATCTGTACTTTGGTGTGCAGCCGATGCTCGTTCAGTTGGTGGTATAAGTCATCTTGCACTGAGTCAGCGTTACGGTATGTGAACGCGTAGGCAGCAATCACAAACAGGCACCTATTGGCCCTGCGCAGCTTCGAAGCTTGAACGAGCCAACTATTCGGACGGCGTACATCCGCCTACTGGCTGGAATCGACTCTAACAGGGCCGATTCAGTCCGGGAATGGGGCATTATCTATACCGATTTTCGAAGCTGCATTATTTCCTAAGGCGCAGCGAGAAAATCCAGCCAGTGTCGCATGAAGAGAAATGCAGAGTAAGCACATAGCTCGAATCGTGCATGTGGGTTTCGGCTAAATATTATATATCGATCAATAGGATCTCCAGTGCTGCCCGTTGACCGATCTGTAACAAAGTGCGCGTTGAGGCATACGAGGATCAACTTTGTTGATTGGTTGGACATAAAACTCGACTGGGAAGAAGTGCAGCTCTGTAATTTTCTGAGTCGAAACTAGGAGACAAAAGAGAGAAGGGTCAGTCATTTGGGTGAAAGTGAGGTTAGGGCGGAACGATAAGGATGTAAAAATGCCAGACTTGATAAAAAGACGTAAGCAGTAACCTGCTGATCTCCATCCACTATGTTCGATATATCAGATAGTGCGCCGTTGACTATCTTCTGCAACGGTCAGAGCATTAAGAAACGACTTAAAGTGAAGTTTATTGTTTTGCGTCGACAGTATACTGCCAGTTGCCTGGATCTAGAGTGGGGGACGATTTGTGTTCACAACCAAAACCTTTATATGAATAACCGGACTTCAAGGCAGCGGGACTTCGGCATTGGTCAACGGGGGAGTCCGTTTTATAGAGTAATGATTCACGCTCACTCCAGCTCTCAAGCCGGAGGTCCAAGAGACTGCGTTTATTTGGCTTCTAACCACTGATCAACACGGTATGTATGACTCTTTAGAAGCAAGATGCACCACCCACTACAGCTCAATGGATCATTGAGACATGCAATTCCTAGCGCCATGTTAAGGTCCAACCTCGTCTTATTGATCTCATACGGTATGGTGCGAATTCTTTCCAATTGGTACGTGAAATTTTGTCGAGTAAAAACTTATTTCACTTACCCGACTACGCTCGCAATGACAACGCCATAAACACATGTGGACTATCAAGGTGATTATTACTACTGCTACTGTTACAGCTACCATTAGCACTATACACCGACGATATCACCTCGCTTGCTAACAGAACGTCTCCATTCGAATTGCTCAGTTCGGCGACAAAACTGACACCGCGACTAACGAACGTTGCGTTTTCAAACAACAAATCATTCACCAGTGTTCGCATTTGTCGAAAGGATATGGTAGCATGTGGATCAAGTTTGTCAGGTACTTCTACTTCAATAATCATCGTTACCAACACTTCGGTTACAATTTCGTTGTTGAGAATGCTGGGCAACAACTCGCGTGCCAATCGAATCCATCATTCCTAAGCAGAATTAAACCTCGGATCAATATCCCTTATTAACGTAGTTTTCGTTATCGTCTCCTAGCCCAGCTGCGTTAGGGAGTTGAGTACATTAGCTTCGGCCCCTTGAAAATTCTGTCCATTATGGTTGTATATGACAGTCGGTCAAACGCGCCTAGCCGAAATTCTCCAAAAGGCGCGCACATATATGTCGGTATCCATGGAATGGCAAACACCGTTGCTCGCTCGTGTAGTCAAGCAGCTAAATAAACATCCATACTACTTTTCATCGCACTGCCGTGTCTCACCATTGAAGATTCAACCGGGATAACTGCTGTTCGAAAGGTCAGCACTGATCCGCTATAACTGGCGGTATCACAGGTAACTCAGCGGTTTCATATGGTTTACACACTATGTAGCACAGTTGAACAGCACGTGTCTCAGGGCAGGGATTGTGCCCACAATCCAATAGCCTCTTTAAAGATCATGCAGTGTGTGTCCCATCCCAGTGTGCCCATTAATGTAGTGAGCATGTAGTGTCAAAGAGGTGTGACAAAGTGTCATCCCTGAGATAAGATCCGATTCCTTGCTTCGTACAGCACTGAAACTTACTTTTGCACTCAGCCTCCTTGAATTATCCCAATACAGAATGCAAGCATGAGTCGTCTCAATTCACACGGCTTCATTTTAAACTCTTGCTGCTCATGGTGTACAAAGACTTGAAGTGTAACAAGATAACGAACGATTTGGTCATCGAGCTCCAGGTCAGTCAATCTTTGAATTTACTTATCCAGTGTTCTTCCAATTTGACAAAGAACACATGACTGGCCTCAAACCGTAACTGATTAGGTCTCAATTCGTCCGTATTCTTTGGAGTCATGAGCCACGAGGATTCAGCCTGAACGAGAAATTGCGTACTGTTTAACAAACTGTTTCCTTCTTTCTGGTGGACTATTGCGAGTCCTCGTAAAGCATTATCAGGGGGGTTTTACTTCGAATTTACCTACCGCCACTGACTTGGATGAGAATGTCGCTGAATAGTGGTACTTTGGTTAGCAACGTAAGTCGGATAGCACCCATTAATACAACGAAGCAGCTTGAGTACTATTGTCGAATCCGTTCAAAATTTTGTCTTGCAGTAGAACCTCATTTCCAGGGTGAACTGCTACTATACGCCTGTTAAATACGTCAGCGGCGAGATCTAATCTTGGTATAGACACGATTTCAACGAGGCTGACATGGGATTCCCAATAATCAGAAAGTATTTTTTAATGAATTCGTCCCAGGAACTCACAAGCTACATGGCTCCACCACAATCCGGAAAAGCACCAGACGCGTTTCGCCCTGTTAGTGTTCCTCAGTTGTGCGCATCCCCTCGGTCCCCTACCGGGGGTTGAGCCCATGACCGCTAGAGGTTGACGCCAACTAGCTAGCAGCTTAAGCCACTGAGCCATGGGGGATGACAGTCGGACTACATAATTTGCAAGCTAATTGGGATATAGCACGCTATATTCCACTGCCTCGCATGTTGCAACTAAAATCCTCCTACTCATAAGTAATCAGAGAAGTATTAACACTGCCTTCGTCAATTTTGCCTCGCAAATACAGCGCAGCACTGTGACCAGCCTTCAACTTGACTGAAAATACATTGTATCCGAATGGGTTAACGCAACATTCAGCAGGTAAACTGTTGACTCCACTCATGCTCGATACCCATTGGTTACACTCTCATCGATCCTATGTGGGGAGAAGATCATTTCAATCCAGTTTTTGCTGATGAAATGTAAAAATACCTTGCTAGGTACCTAGGGGATCATAGACCGTGATTGTGAAAACTCTTCAACCTGAAGTTTATGCGGTCATGTATGGCGTCCAGGGCACCTTCAACGCAGTTCTCGTTAGGCAGATCTCTTATCTCGTGGAAATTCAGTTTTCTGTCAAGCAGCTGCTCAATTAGCTTGTTCCGATTGTTGATCCATTTTGCCAGATAAAATCCTCCATCGGCGAGAATGTATTTTGTCTTGTATCCTGCGATTCATTTCGTATTGGATTTAGGTTTACACTAGTTCACATGCTTCGTTGTTAACAAGTCCAAGACCATTCTATCTGACATCTACTCACCACTTACTCGTCTTCAGTATGTTTCACCTTTGCTGCTTATGTTTGGCTCTTGTGTTTTATGTGATTCACTCTCTTTTTTATAGCCTGTTTCTCAACTTCCGTCGCTGTCTCCTGCTGGTGGCTTTGGCGCAGTTGATTTTTCCAATACCGGACCCACGGATGCGTCGGCCGTCCTATCCGGCGGGAACTCTGAACTTGAGCATCTGTACTCCGAAGCGCAAGTGTTGGCCTCACATGTTGCCAAGGTAGACGCGGAGCGCAAAGAGTTGGCAGCTAAGCTGGCCGCGATCAGTTTGACTGCAGTCAAGTTGTTGACCGGTCAGTCTCCACCCATTAGTGGGGATGCAAAAGTACGCGGCGATGCGGACACTGATTCTCTAAATGCAGTTTCTCCTTCCTCTTCCGCCGACCCAGCCCTACAGTCAACTAATCAAAACGTTGTGGCACAAGAAATGAACCCGGTTTCCGCTCTTTTTGACTCCGAGACACGTGAAGAGTGTTTCAATGGTTTTGCAAGCCAATACCCTCAGGAGTATCTTCAGAAGCCGACTGTCAGCGAGAAAATTTTCGAAAACACCTCCGTACATCCGCTCGCCAAAGCCTCCCTGGACACTTGTGTGAAACAACCTGCTGACTCAACTGCTTTCACAACAAAAAAGAATAAAAAGCCTAAGAAAACAAAGAAAAAGTGAGTGGCATTCAGTTCATTTGTTATCGTGGGGCCGCGACACCGTCAACATCCTCTTTCTGTCCCAGCACTTTTTTCACTCTGATCTCCCGTACCACTCAAGTACACACCGTTGGCTCCCGAAGTTGTACTTCTCCTGTATTTGGGACTAACTTAAATCTAAGACTTTCTTGTTCGGGTTTGAACTCCGTGTTCACTCCCAAACATACCCTCTGTTTTACAGTTGCTATTTTACACGTGTGAATTTCGTCCGTTAAGCCACAAAGAGCTCGGTGGCGCCTCGCTACCTTATCGAATGAACACTCTGACACTAAATCTCTTCTTGTGCACTTCCTCAGGTGAACAGCACGCAGACCGAGATCCACCTGCTCGTGATTGTATGCGCTAAATAATATAGGTCGCAAATCTGAATGGTTCGCAGCCACCTACTTGTTGAATTTCAGGGCGTTTGATAGATGTGTTTATCATGAGCTATCTTGATTGTTATGATTGTTTCGAGTTCAACACTTAACTATCTGCTGATTAAAAGCTGTGCTTGTTTAACGTCATCAAGTTGGCCTATAAATCCTAACTTGCTGGTATAATCCTTCGTGCCTTGCTTTTCCTCCAGTGTTTGGTGAAGTACGGGCCGATGGTACGATTACAAAGTGTTGTTATTACTCTCGAACTCTCTAGTCTGGTAGCCTGAAGCGAACTCTCCCCCATTTCTCTGGTAGCTTGGCACTGCATCGTTTATACGCTATCATGATACGGTAAAAAGCTGCTTTTGGCAACTGTGGAAGTCACTGTTACTCTAGGCAGCCCTCAGCCGGATACCGTCACTTCTAGGCTCCGGTTTGTGTTGCGAATGTTGGTGTTTCTTCGGAATCTCTCATATCATTGAACTATCTCATTCACGTGTTTCCCATTCTACAGTCATAGCGAATTAATCGATCGGTCATTTAGTAGCTCTTAGATTTTGCCAACCAAACCTCCTCTTTAGAGATTCCCCTTAAGTTTTTCAAACGGTTTACTATATGTCACTGTTGGCAAGCCTGACTCTAAACCACCGCTTTCCATAGCTAACCCACTAAATGTGGAAAATGGGGTTATGGTAACAGTAAATTGAAATTTGGGCAGAATGGCTGAATTTGTAACAGACCCCGTCAAAATCCCACTCCTCACATCCGTCGCCATCTTTTCACACAGGTCTACGCGGTGTTACTGCTGAAGTATACTATATCTTTAGGTCCGCTCGTATGGGATATCACTTGACCCCTTACCGTTGTATCAGCTCCGTTAGGTGGGCTGGCAGAATTACACCAACTTTTTGTATTCAGTTATCCACTTAACTGAGCACTAGGATGAACAGCTACTCACTCGAAGTGTTACTTTATAGTAAGTGAGAGCGCGAGATGACACTCAAAGCCGCTATTGGTGTTTATCGTTTTTTTGACTACAGATAAACTCAAAGTTTAAAAGCAAAACGTTTTTTTAGCAACACTGGAAAGGTCTCTTATGGTTAACTAGGCAGTTTTCGATTTTATGATTATCACCGACATTTTCACTGACTTGGTAAATCTGTCACTCATTCATGTTCTCTCAAATTGGATTTCAATGGCCAAGCCACTAAGCTTTTGACAAATTTCTCATGGGTTCCGACACACTTCGGGATCAGATGAGTAAATGGGAAACATATGTTTATACATCTGAACTGTCGAGTTCTGCGCTTCGCTCCTGCCGGAAATGCCTCCGAAATGTTGTGCGTAACCCCCTGCAGTGGTGTACCCCAAAGTTTCCGAAAATAAACTTTTATTATTATTATTACTTCTATTGTAATTCACACTACAAGTACAGTGAAAGGAATACTTGTGCGATGGAGTATCTTTCGAGTCCCGTCCGTTCTGTGTAGCTCCGGACAACCAGTTTCTGACTTTGTGGCAACAACAACAGTTCGGCCGCACGATAGTCCAGTCTTTGAACTGGTGCAGATTATCTCCAAATGTTTTTTAATGTGACTCCGTTTAAGTAGTGTGGCGGCGGTCACCTGATTCTCGGCCTCATTAGCCCACCATCCCACTCGGATTTTCGGCTGTCGTGTCTTAATTTTATTGGAGCGCCCTGTGATGCGCAATGTGTGTATCTCGTTACATTTCTCACTTTGAAATTGGTGTGCTATCACTGCGCAGACTTAATTGTGTTCCGAGGTCCAAAAATACGAACCGCTAACCTTAGCGGTGTCCACCGAAGCCAGGTATAATTGTGCTCGTTCCACCACACTACTTATTACCTACTTACATCGCTTTCAAGGGGCCTTTTTTACACAGAGCAGCGTTACTGAATTCTTACAACGAACGGAACCGAATAATTCACCTTTATGTCTCCCATCTATCTTCTACGTTATGCACCTGGAAAACGTTAGTCATCAAATTACAAACTTTTTGGGAGTTGGTTGTAACCACCGCCGTAGTCTATCGATTATGTTTTTCATGCTGCGTATTATGTATGATTTATTGCGAACTCTAACTCCGCACTTCCACTTCGTAACGAGTTCCTCGGACTAGCCGTTAAGTCTACGGCCTCGGTTCGGTGCGCTCCAAACAATTTACTCTACCAAATTAATTTGAATATTGCTGTTGTAGCTTGACTACGCTTAACTGGTTGCTGTGCATTAGATTTGGTGGTTTTTCTTGAGAATTCTTTCTTGCAGGCTCACTTCGGAGCAGGAACGACAGCTTGCATGGGACACTGAATTCGCCCGTCGTAAGGCGTCTGCTTTGGCTAAAAAGCTGTCCGAAGAGTCAGAAGCTGCACGAATGGCTGAGGAGGAAGCAGCTTCCTTAGCTGAACAACAAGCTGCTCTGGAAAGAGAGCAGAAACGCATACTTCTTGAACATCGTAAACGCGAAGCTCAACGGGCTAAGGAAGAGGACCAGCTTGGTCAACTCCGCCTACCCCAGTCGGCTCGGTGGGGCATCTCCGCTGCGGACACCGCTTCTAGCGCTCCCAAGTGTGCGAGCCTGCTTTCCACCCAGACTGCCCAAGCTGGAGAAGGGGTGAGTACTGAACCCGTTACTCTGGTTCATTCTATTATATGCCTGATTCTATTGCGTTTCGACACGATAACCCTGTTGTGTGTACTAATTTTTTCACCTACTATGTATTTTTATGCAGGACTTCGTCCATCTTATTTTCCTGATAATGGAATACGCTTCTGGGACACTGGATGTGTATGGATTGTCTGTCGTGCTCTTCTGTGTATCCATTTCGACCTGCAGCTGCTAACGAGAATTTTTATGCACTCCTTAGCAGTCTGTGTTTTTCCCATTCTTCTTTCCCTATCTCCCTTCTCTTTATCATCACGAGTATAGAAAACATATCAGATTTCTTTGAACATTATTTATGGGTTTCTCGATGTATTTCAGACGGTGGGACAACTTCAGGAAGTTGCTATGACAAAGCAAACTACTAATCAAGCACCCGAGGTGTTTAATAGTCCGATCGCCGCACACCCGCAGACTCAGGTGGCGACAGCGAACTCGGACAAACGCACGATACCAAATCAGTCTGTGGCTGGTAAAAATTCCGCTATCAAGTTAAATACGCCATCCAAGTTGGAGCCCTCAAACACGCGCAAAGTCCTGGATCGAGTTGACCGGCCCAAACCTGTAAGTTTTTCCCTACGCTAGTTTACTTCCACTGGTTTCTGCTTTCGACTTTCCATTGATACATACTTTCGTTTTCGTTTATCATAAGGGCTAGATTACTTTTCACCATTACAAGTCTTTTTTATTCTGGATGGTAATTCTCCAAATCAGACTTCAATACGGCTACGCCCGATCAACTCACTACTGGCCATCTCTCATACAGCTCGATCGTCACTCATTTTCGGACTCGCTTTTGGATGTGTATTTCCCCACTTCGCTTCTCACTCCTAACGGTCATCTGAGTGCAGACGTGTTTAATATTCCCAGCTGCTAACAAGCCACTGTTCATTGGACAAAATTCCAAAAAGACGGAGGTGGTCCATTTTAAATGTGTATGGAAGCAACGTGAGTTTGTCCCAGAAAGCTACTTGCAGTTACTTGCACTGGCTCTACATATACATGTCACCGCTTAGCTGGCTAATGACGTCATGGGCGCGGTTCCTGATCGAGTCGGTGAATCCTCACCACTGACTAGTCTCAATGGGATGAAACGGCCTCGTGTTACTTTTCCGGATACGTGGTATGCCATCTGGTTTGGAAGCTGCTGCGATGAACCCTCAATACAATTGCGGCACATCTCCTTACTCATTTCTTACTTAATTACCTTCGCTGCTTTGCACTCACTGATTTGTTTGGTTCTGTTTGATTTGCTTCTTTTTCTTCTCCGGTTTCCTCGGTTCTATTAACTTTTTGCCTACATCTTCATTTGTCTTATCCTTGAGTTGACTTCGTCCTTGGATATCCCAAACCAATCTGCCAACATTTCAGTCTAACAAATATTTTTCCTCCTGTTTTTTTCACTCCCTTAGTTGCGATTTTTCTCTCCAACACCCACATCCACCACGCCTAGGCGCTCGGATTATAGTGCACTAGATTGACCACATTTAATATTTTCGAGCATATTATCCGATTTGACGCTTTCTGTGCGGTCATGCTGATGTCATTGCTGTTATCTTTTTTCTTCCAATTCTAGTGACCTTAGTTTAATAATTGCTCGTTATTACCTTTACTTTCCAAAGTTCAGCGCACCTTATTATCACTTTGTTATCGAATCGGGTTTACCGTCACTGACCCGATTGGACTCTATATGCGTGAAACTGCTGTTCGTTTGTCGTTGTTGTTCTTGCTATTACTACTACTACTGTTGTTGTTGTTGTTGTTGTTTGTATCGTGGTGTCTCGTTGCGCCTCTCTGCTATTCAAATTGAAAGGAAACCCGATGATATTTCATCCGGAATATTAAGGAATACTCCCATGCCTTTTTTGTGCACCCAATTCAATCCGTGACTCCATCCGTTTTCTCTTATGCGTAGCCTGCTGCCTCTTCCCACGTTTCGGCTATCGGTGACAGCCGACGAGTACTAGTGCCGATCTCACCTCCTGATGTGCCCCGGTCTACTGCTGCTTCTTCCTCGTCGCTTCCCGTTACACATCCGATCACCGCGGGCTCTATTTGGGATCTACCGAACGATGGTAAAACTGTAACTGCGATGTCATCTGCTAAAAGCTCCAAAAAGAACAAGAAGAAATCTGCGACGGTTAGCTTACTTTTGTATCATGTGACATTGTTGTGTGTTTTGCCACCGTTTGCTTATCCCGTCTGGTTAATTCGAAACCAGCCAGTGATTCGTTTCTCCAGCTTGACTTATTTGTGCAATCGGTAGACTTTCTGCGGAGATTTTATTTGCTTCCATAACTTTGTTGTTTAGCCATCCTACTATATGACATATCGTTCATCAGCTCTGACTGTGTTATTCTGTATTTTTCAGACACATGTGTGCTGTGTCTCCCAGTGGGATATGCATGATGTTGACACCTGTAATCACCGACTACCTGGATCCCATTGCAACGAAACTGCAACTTAGCTTGTTACGATCGTTTGCACACCCTCCTGGTTATTGGCCTATAAAGCATGGTTCTTTTCGGTAATTTAGGCCCTACTCTTACTTAGCTTGATCCATGATCATGTCAAACTTATTCTTCCTGTTCGCCAAACCAGGGTTGAAGATGGAGTGGAACCCTTCTTGTGGGCCGTCAACATATCACTACCTTTTTGCGGTCATGGCTTTCAATCAACTTTTTCGATGATCCTAGTCGTTATCTTGTATGGACCTAAACTTCCTGGTGCTGTCTCAGTCTAATTGCAACCATTTTTCATCCTTTATCGGCAGCCATCTAATTTCAACTGGGTTACTCTGTCTGTTACGTACAAGATTGTGGATAAGCGAAAACAGCCCACTGCTGATGCTTCCGTTCTTTTTGTCCACACGCTTCTCTTACACTCCTCGTGGTCTCAATACCTAAACATTCTTGGTCACTTAATCACCACACCCAAACGGTCACCCGTTCCTTCCCACCCACATCATTGTGACCAGACTGGTCTTCAAAGTGGCGCGATGGTTCTAGTGCATCCGTGATTCATTAACCTACGCCCAGTAACACTTCAGACACACTCATCAGACTGATGAATAGTCAGGAGTCAAACTAGCTCAACCTCAACATTCTCTGAGGCCTATGATGGCATCGGGGAAACTCCCTTGATCGCCATGCAACGGAGAGGGGACGTTTTACTTGTGATCAGCTCAGGTGGGGTGGCGTTAAACACAGGCGCCACGAGTTCTCTATAGCGCCGAAAAGGTGCCACCCTTGCTCAATGATTTGCTGCCGTCTGCCTCAAGTCATCATCATCGCCATTCGACACATTGGCTAAGAGTGCGAAACACCCAGACTACTATGCTGCATTACAGTTTATTTAAGTAACAGTAACATAAAGAAACGAAAAAACAGTAAAGTAAGTCAAAGCAAAATGTTATTACGCTTTGTTTTCTATGGTGCACTAACGACGAGATCGTGGTTGCGGAGAGATTCTATGCAAAATGAGACAGGATGAAGAAACTCACAACACAAACACCACTGAGGTTGGCCCTTCGCCAACAAGCGCATCCAGCCAAACGTGTTCATCGTCTCTTGGGCCCTAGCCGGGGAGTCGAGAAGCTCCAACCAAAGCCAAATTCGAAGTGAGGTCTGTACTCCTCTTGTCAAAGTCTTGTCCTTCCACGCAGACTCTGGTCGCGCAAACAACATAAACCGCGCGAGTTGGTGTGCTGGCGTACGTAATATGAGGCCCAGCCAATCGGAGTCTGGTGCGTGAATTGACAGTGCCGAGCACTTCACGTCCTTTTCCTACACCATAAGCAAGTCACCGAACGCTCATTGCTGACGCAGCCTTCCTACCAGGTGTGAACTAAGCTGCAAAGGCAGCGATGGTGGAACCTAACAAGCCTCTCCATGTCTGTCGATTTGATTTGCCATGTTTCACAACTGTGCAATAGGATCGAAGGGACATCTGCATTATAGACCATTGGAAGTTATTCCGTCTGATACGCGAAACGAGCATCATCAGACCTGATAATAGCGAGACTATATGCGACAAGAGTGGACAGCCAATCCACAGCTTGTCAAAACGCTTGGAGCTTTGGGCCGAACACTTTGAAAAGCAGTTTAGTCACCTATAGTTGCCATATCCCTTATCGGCTATTGCTCGTCCTTCTCCCTAGGCCGTCGCCTAGGATACGCCCTCACGCGCGGAAGTCGAACGTGACATCAGGCTGTTGAAATTAAACGAGATCGCAAGAGGAGATAGATCTCTTTCAGCTCTCTTCAAATTCGTAGGACCCGCTGTTGTAGACGAATTGCACAACTTACTAATGAAGCTGTGGGGCAGGAAACTGCCAACAAACTGGAGCCGCTCCTTTATAGTCCCAATTTTCAAAGAAAGGTTCACGTTCGGATTGCGGCATTCACGGAGCGATCAGTTTGATCTCAATTGCCTCTAAGTTGCTCGCCTGTCATGCTCCATGTACTGATTGACACTCGTGAGAGTCAGATTCGCGAGAAGCAAGCCGGATTTCGCCGAAACTTAGGCTGTATTGACCACATCTTCACGTCACTCCAATTGTTGGAACATCACCATATATATTGGCGACCTGCTATAGTCGTGTTCCTAGACATTAAAGTTGCCTTTGATTCCGTTAATCGATGTGCCTTTTGACACTGTCTACTCAGGAAAGGTGTGTTTGATAAATGTGTAAATGAAAGCGCTCTTCGCGCGTACTTCGGGTAGAGTGAGGGTTTATGCCAAACTTTCGCCGCTGTTCAATACCTCCAACGGTTGAGACAGGGTTGTCCGCTGTCACCTTTCCTCTCTAACTTCGCCCTCAACGCACTCATGTAAATGGCATTCACTGGACATGACTTAAAAAGTGTGAAGCTGCTCCAACGTAAACGACTTTTTGACTTGGAGTATGCAGACGACATTGCTCAAATCTGTGACAGCTCCCAAACATGTCCAGCACCATTGGACAGACTAGAACTGGCTGTCTGCGGTTTTGCCCTCTGCTTTACTCCATCGAAATGCAGACTCCTTCAAGGTTAGCAGGGACCCACCTCTGCGCTGACCCTTGTTGAAGATCAGCTAGACGTTTTCCAGCAACTCAGGTACCTAGGTAGTTATATTACGCTGTGGCATACATGAGGTTACAAACTGTATAACCAAAGCCCGAGACACGTTTTTAATCTCTGACACCTGTGGCGTCTGCGCGACGTCACTCTCGCCCTGAAAGGTGGAGTTTACAATGCAGTCGTCCGTTCAACCCTCCTGTACCGTTGCGAAACCTGGTCTATCAAACGGAGAGACTTAAAGAGGCTAATTACAGTCGACCATCGCTGCCTTCGCAGCATAACTCATGTTGGGTGGGAATACCGCGTGAGCAATGAGCGTGTTCGCGGTCACGTCTTTGGTGCTAGAAGAGCAAGTGAACCCCTCAGCACCACTATATCAGGCATCCGGCTCCTATAGTTGAGTCACCTGTTGCGTATGTCCGCACACTGACTCCGGGGGTGTAGATGGAAGAGGAGGAGTGGAAGCGAAGAGAAGATTTGGTCAAGAGAAATTAAGTCCCTCACTTCGATGTTGGCGTCGGTTGGTGCCTCCCGACTGCAGAGTTTGAGTTCCAAGGACGATTAACACGTTTGGTTAGATACACTAGTTGACATGGCGAAGAGCCGACAGTGGCGTTGGGATTATGAGCTTCTTCGCCCGTAACTTTCCCGCTTAGTCCCCCCCCCCTCAGCATCGATGTCACACTTCATGGGTAATATTGCACCCAATATTGTAGTACTTGCCTTTTTGGTTTTTATATTCTGTTATGTTCAGTACCTCGCTTTCTCATCTAGCTTATCCTTTGTATTGCGACACTGTTAGCTGAATTGTGTTTCTCGCCTTCAGCTGATGTGTAATGATGATGATGAGACTCTACAGGTCGAGAGTACTGTCGCACCGGTGCCACAAGTGGCGGAGATTGGCAAAGCTACCTCGTGCTTTTTCCATGCGATTCATGATCTCATAGCCGCTGATACGTCTACCCAAGCAGTTGCATCACTAATTGACGTCTAGCAGATATTAATCAAGGATCAGCGCAGGGTGTGGTGTCTACCAGTCTTGGTGCAAAATTTTGTATTTATAGATTGCAGAGTATAGTGCGAAACTGCTGACAGGCAGTGCTAATCTGTCCATCGCTACTTGGCGCGTCTGTGAGCTGTCACGGATTGGGGGGGGGCGATATCGTCGGCATACTCCAGCGGAAGAATCCGATCACATGGAAGCAGCTCCACACCTTCCAAGTCGCACCCAGTGAACACAGTTTCCATGACTTTGTCTATCGCGAATTAGCACAGGAATGGTGACAGCACATATCCCTATCTCACACCACTGGATATATCCAATGGCGGCAACAGCTTGCTATAAACCATCGCTCTACGTGTCGGCTACCCGTGTAAATTGCTGTTTTTACATTTACGCATTTATTGGGCACGCCCTTCCTGATCAACTACTTCCCAAGGACACATCGATCCACCGAATTGAACTCACCTTTGATGTCGAGAACGCTATTGCGGTGCGTCGCCAATATAACTGGCGGTGCTCCAACAATTAACATAAAGTAGCGGTCAATTTAGCCTCACTTTCGATGCAATCTGGCTTGTTCTTCACGAATATGCTTTTCACGGTCACCAGCCGATCTGTGTAGAACGATAGAGGCAAGTAACTCAAGAGGTAATGGAAGAAAGGTACCATTAGTACGCTGGCACACTGCTGAGTATAATACAAGATCGCTCGCGCCTGTGCATTTTAGAACTGGTAACCTTGGGATTATAAGGTATGTGTCTTTTTCCTTCGGCCAGTGACCGACAAGGAAATGAGCAATACGCAGGTGCGCCACACCGACGTTTCACTGCAACGTAACCATCACCAGGCACGTGTGGTCTAGGGACATTGCGAGGTCGAACCAGTGACCTTTTGAGTTACGAGGTAGACGCCGACTTAGAGGCTCTAATGATCAATGGTATCTCGTGATCGCCGGAATCCAAACTTGAGCTCCTCTTTAAAAATTAGGAGAAACACGGTACTCGGTTCGGATCGTTTACTGTCCTCACATTTTCGCTAATGAAACGTGTACATCGTAAGCGAGAGCAGATCCCCTGAATCTTAAGTGGGCTAGAGAAACTTCTTCTAGTCGAGCGGTCTAATTCAATTCCAGCAATCCGATCTTATGTTCGACTTCTGCGCGATAGAACCAATCTAAACTAATGGCTTATGGAGCAAGACAGTCGCTGACCGGGAGTGAATGTGCTACTGTTGGCTGGTTACCTTGGTTTTCGAATCTCGGGATAGCTAATCTTTGTTCAGTTTCGCATAAATCTGTTACTCCCACACGCTTAGTCATGGTCTCAGAGACGGGATATACTACGGTCGGAAACCTTACATCAATTGGTATGGGTCTTCTATGACTGCATATGACAATCCTCAGAAAGCCGGAACTGGATGTGCTTCTCCACTACCTTGTGGGTCAAACGCAGAGTCAAAGGCTAACGGTAGATTACCTGGAACAAAATATCCCACTTGGGAGCCGGAGATTATCATGTACCCTTTGGACCCCATTGTCTTTCTAACAACTCTCCTGTATCTTGAACACAGCTGTTGCTAGCCTCGCACCCGGAGCTAGCGATGCATCTAACCTCCTCAGTTCACATTGATTCATTCAACTTCCTCACTCTGGGTCGGATGAGCCAACAGGCAGCGCTAACTCTCACTCTTCGAGTTGATGTATGTTGTGTATGGCGCTAACTGTTCGATATCTCGAGGTATTTATGGTGTCTTTACTATCCTCAATAGAAATGCTTAAATCAGTCTACTCAACACAGTGCTTGAATTTAAAAAATAACGCAGTTAGCTTGCGTGTCCCCTAAGTTTGTCGGATCACCTCAGACAATCAGCCTCATGCACGCATCCGTCTGACCTTCCTGTTGTTATTGCAGCTTCCGAAGTTTTATTGCTGTTTCCCATTTTCTCCTTTGCCATTTGTCAGATGTTACAACTTGCGCGCGATCTAGGTTGGGGACACCTCGCACTGTTCAAAATTCCAAATGCAACCGAAATCACTTTAGCCAGTGCACTTGACTAAACAGCCTCGTATGAACGCACCTGCCCAAACCCCGGTGCAATTGGAATAGGAAGCTAGATGTGTATATATGGGTAAACCTGGGCACCATCGTTTTCTGCTAAAACTAGGTCGGGAGTTAAAATTAATAGAACATGGCCAGTCCAATCAGCTTGCAGGTGGGTTGAGAGACCGCGTGATGTTATTAATCCTTCTGACACGAACTGGAAGTCACTAGTTAACATAATTGTTCCGCATCTCCTTTCAGAAAAATGCTTTCTGCGTGAAATTTTATATCTTTTGAAGAAGCTACGCATAGCCGCTAGTTGCATTCCCTTCTGGTGAACATCTCTTCTAGCTCGGGAAATTGTACTCGAACTTTGTTACGGCAAATGTGCTTCGTGGCTGCCATATGTCTTCTATTCGGTTTTGTGATTTCAGCGGTCATATACAACTGGTGTTTTCACATTTTCTAGTTTAGGAATGTCGGATGACCGGCTGACAGACTAGATTACACAGACAGTATATCCATCTAGCAGCTGCACACGCACTCTTGGACCAACGTTGCGCGATGCATGCTTTAGTATAAATTTCGCACCTACAAGACACCAAACACTTTTACACCGTTGGACTCTAAAGAGACATCTATTTTCATGATCATCGGTTGCTATACTTACCTTATTTGCTGCATTGCTTATGGATGTTGATACGTCAGGTGACATTTCAACTCCTCAGTCCTTTCTGTGGGTAGTGTGATTTTAACTTATCGGTTACGAGCAGAATACCCACGGCTTGAGAATACCACTATTACTGTGTGAATCAGACATATGTATATTATGCGCTAAGCTCATCAGACTGTTGGTAAACTTTAACCATCGGGATTTGTACTTCATTGAATCAGCAGCACTGAGTCACACTAGTTGGTGCCCTTTTTCATCTTAATTATGTCACCTCCATCAGCTACTTGTCACTTGCACACCTCGGTGTTTTATTTGCCGCTAATGCATCCGATTGGAGGAACATTTACGGTTGTCAACGGAGGTCGTGGTATGAGAAAGTGAATAATTCGCCTAAAGAATCCTGCCAGGTTAGCGAATATTATCTCTTCCGACAGGGATCAAAGTACCATTCCTACTACTGGTTAGACGCTTTACACTAAACACTCGCAAAATCCACCAGCGCTATTATTTTGAGTTCACTATTCCTGTCTGTTAATTTTTGATTTCAATGATTATGTTTTATTCTTTCTTTCTTTGAAGTTCTTTCCTTGCTTAGGTGCATTGTTTATCTCTATTCTCTTCGGCCATTACTGGATCATCACACACACATCTGGGCTGAACTGATCATCGTCCACCAACTGTGCAAGGCAGACAGTTATCCACTTGTCGCTGCTGCTTGGCAACATTATATGTGAAGCAGTTAACTGCTTAATAGTATCGTCTAGCTCCGTGGTCGATTTCGCCATTTTTGCTTCCCTCTGATGGAAGATAGCCCGCCTGACAATCGGACGTAGCACATTGCAATTTGGCGGCCACTGCCTTTCCTTACATACCACCGAGCTTCAAGCACGGCAAATAGTAGCTCTTTCGAATTCGATCTTTTACATCGTATTGTTACTCCTCCCTCCGACCTGCGGTTTGCCTGCTTGTTTACTTTTTACCTTCCCTCTCATCTTCCATTTTTCCAGCGTTTCTTCCCTTTTATCGTGGGAATGAGCGTTGTACTCAACTCGATGGTTCGACTATGTTTGAATCGAAGTACCGTATATTACTGAATATAAGCCCGTCGATAGATAAGCCGACAGTATAACTTTGCGACAACAACTTTGTCCACATTCGTAAGTCTTTGTATTAGCCGACCTATAAAAAGTCAGCAAAAGATTAACGAAATTGTCTCTTTACATTTTTGACCTCATCACTGCCTGCTCTCACTTAAGTGTGTTCAAGTGAGGCCTGCTCTACTGTTGGTCCGTTGTGGTTACCGTAATCTTATAATCTCGATTAATGGGGCTTAGGATCGTCAGAACAGACGTCAAGTCACATGAAACAGGTAAGACAGCCGATCATATAGGGTAAAGTGAGAGAGTGTCAGACAGGCCGCCTCGTGTAGTCGGGGGCCTCATGCAGATGGACCACAGTAGAGCAGTAGGTAAGAGCGAAGTTTACGATCAGTGATGTGGGTCGGCGTACTTTTAAGACACCGGATCGCCTGGCATAACAAAATATTTAAGTGCTTCTGATTCGCATATGTCAGATGTGCAATATACCGAGGATTCTCGACACAAAAATAACATGTACAGTTATAGGTACTTCAAATCCCCGTCCGTCACTAGCGGATGGTGCTAAGGGGAGATAAGGGCAATAGTGGACAGTAAATTCTTGGGGGGATTTTACATGTGACTTTTATTCAAATTCCATAGGTCCTCTTTCTAAGCCGATCCCCTTCTACAGAGAAGAAAAATTTTCAAAAATCGGCTTATGTTCAGTAATATACGGTAAATTGCACTGTTCTGTCAGCGTATTTGCTGCTTTTGAGCCCTCAAAAGGAGTGTGCCTAAGTGTTGTCTTCTGCCACTGTTCTCTCTTTACGTGCTCTTCAGAAACATGGCGACTATTGTCTTTGCTCTTCGTTTGTTGCAGGCGCCACAGTCCACTTCTGAAGGCGTTTCTTTTGCAGCGAAGGAGCAACTCGCACACTGGTGTGAATCACAGCTTTCCTTCATGCCCCTCTCCGGAGTCGATCTTCCCACCTTGGTCGATTTGTTATGCGAATTGGAAGGGACTGATCAGGTTTGTCACCATTGTCTCTGGCTTTCTGTTCCAGCTGTCTGGCTTCCAAACAGCTTTCCTGCATACTTTAGTCATAAATCCTTCTATCCGCTCATTCATAAAATCTCAGGGTTTTTCCGTTTTCCTGCACACCGCTACACTACCTCAGTTCCTTAAGGACTGCTACGCGAAATAAGTGCCCCTCATGTATCCATTGGTGTATGCTGAACTTTTGTGACCGTTTAGTTTGTAGCGCATCCGGACACTGAGTGTACATGCTACCCATCTTGTCTAAATGCTTGAATCAAGATGCTACAGAGCTCTACTCTCAGGCTTCATCCCATTGATTTCATCAGTGCTGCTTCGGGCTTTTTAGGATCCCGATTGACTTAGTGACTAGGCCAATCAACCAGACATATTAGGTCGCTTGAGTGCTTAAATGTCGCCCCTATTTTGTAGTACACGATTCTGTTCAGAGTTGTGTTTAAGTTACCGGCTTGAAAACACTTTTTCATACTTCAATTCACTTACTGTGGCACTCCGGTTTTCGCCCAACTTGTTTCCACGCCATTGGTTGCTCTATTCTACTGTGCTGTCCCTTGGAATGCATGATCTGTCGGTGTGGAAGTACAAGGAAATCATCTGCTTTATGAGCTGTACTTGGTCCAATGTAGCCTTGTCCATAGATTTTGGCAGCTGAATTGTTACGGGAGCCTGCCTTTCAGGGACTTGATTTATTCCGCAAACGTTAATCAGCATAAAAGGCGAATACTCAGTTCTCATCGTTTGGCGTGTCTTCTTGGTTACTTATGAGTAGTACATTTTTAAACTATATTGAAGATTGTTGCCCCCCCACCAACCAACCGGTCACACCCACCTTCGCACTCACGAATCACGACACGGTCTGTTTACTTGCGAAAGCAGCATTATCATGCATTATATGTAGCCACGTACACTCAGACCGAGCTATTGTAGCGTAACTAAGCGTTATCGGACTGTCCACCCAACCGTATAGACTAATGACAATGTCTTGGTACGCATATCGACAGCTTGTTCGGTTTGCTTCCAATCGGTAACAACCGCTTCTCGGACCTGATCGCTTCATTATGATTGGTCTTTTTGGTCGCAATTTTCTTATTACAGTGAAACCTGCGCAACTTGACCACTCAAGAGACTTGACCAAAGTGGTCAACATACCGAAGTCTGGATCTATATGCTTTACATGGTGGACGTTCAAGAAATGAGAAAAACCTTCAACTTAGGGAGGTGGGTGGGATATAAAGGTGCTCAATTTCAGAGCTTTTCCCGTGATTGCTCCGATTGTATAAACGAAGTTTTGTATGAAGCCAATAACGAGCCAAATCCACTGCCAATAACGTCGACTTGTGCGTTTGGCTGAGCACTTCGAGCAGTAGTTTAGCCGGCTTACAGCACCCATGATTTCTCATTCAGGAATACACAGGACTCCCTGGTGTGTAGACGCTTCACCACGTTCTGAGAGTGAAATTGTTTATGACCTTCGCTTCTTGAAGTGTTATAATGCATCTGGCTCAGACAAACTCCCTCGGACTCCTTTCGAAGAGGGGGCTCATTGCTTGTACGGTAACTACTTTCCCTCCTGAAAGAGATTTGGTTCACTGTGCCAATCCATTCCGATTGGGGCCTAGTGGATATCGTTCCCGTTTTTAAAGAAGGTTCCTGGACAGAACTTTCCAACCATCGAGGGATTAGCTTAATTTGCGTTGCGTCCAAAGTACTCGCTACCCTGCTTTTAGGGAAACTTTACTGGTTCGCGAAATGAATATCCGCGAAGAGCAAGCTAGGTTCCGCTTCGGCCTGAGTTGTATTGACCGCGCTTTTACGATCCGCCAGACACTCGAACACCTTTAAAGATTTGGCTGGCCAACCATCGTTGTCGTCTTAGACGTACGTGCCGCTTTGACTCAGTTAATCGAGCTGCTCCCTGAAATTGTCTTCTTTGAAGAGGAGTGCCCGAGAAGTGTGTTAACATTCTTCTGGCAATTCACGCTTGATCTCTTGGCCCAGTGCGAGTGTAAGGCGGACTTTCGCGACCTTTCAGTATCGAGCAGCCCTCCAGGAATCAAGAACAAACTCTGGGCGGCGATCAAAAGCCGTTATTAGGAAGACTCGTGGCTTTGAATAGACTACATGCGGTATTCTGCTGTCGTCCGCTTATTAGCTGTCCCTTGTTAACTGGCCTGTGACGTTTACTCCATCCCATTGGTTCGTGCTCGTTTTTCTGTCGAACCGACTGACATTTACTGAACCCAGGGTTACGTCGAGCCGCGTTGTTGGCATCGCCGATAGACTGCATGATAGCGTCTGATCAGCCATTGGTCTGTTAGGTTGATGCTTCCCCGACTGGCTTGTTGATACAGCGATGCGTGTGGTTAAATTGGACTCCGACGTGAGTTACCCACTCGCCACTAGGCTGACCAATCCGCTTCTTAGATGCTGCAAATCACGCTGTTCCTTTTGGATGCTGAGCCAGGCCAGTCGTCTGCGTTTCACCTTTGTCTGATTGACCCCTGGTCCATCGTTACCGTAACGATTCCCTTCGCCCTAAGTTTTAGCCACCATCGCATTCATTATCACCAGTAGCGGAAGACAAGGTTACCCAACATCACCCTACCTGTTCATCTTCGGTATGGACGACATCTTGGAGAGTTCTCTGGACAATTACGAAACCAGCGGCGTTGAAATGCTTCCGAGGGACCGACTTTGCTAGTTGGAGGACGCAGACAGCATCGCCGTAGTTTGCGATTCCTCACAGGTTGACCATAATGTACTGCGTGAATTGGAGGTGTCTGTCTACCAGTTCGGAAAAACCCCCTCTCATCGAAGTGTAAAGTCATTCTGTGGGACTGGTTAGGAGGTGCTTCTTCTCTCATTCTTTCTGTTTATCCTTTGGACGTGGTAGGCAAGTTCGTCTACCTTGGAAGCTGCCTCAGTGCTAATGGTTTAACGGTTGCGGTGGTTTTGCGCGTGTCTAAGGCTCTGGTTGCTTTTGCTAATCTCTGGCGATACTATAGGGACCGTCCATCTTCACAGAAGCCGGCACCTCATCAATTGATAGTTGCACCCTTGAAGAGGCTACATTTGTCTGAAATCTGTCCTCTAGCCATTTCCGTAGGTGTATCTATGGAGCTTCCGAATGGCGCTGCTCGATACAGCTCCGTCTACCTGAAGGTAAACCGGCCGTCATATTCTACTGACGTCTAGTGCCGTTGTATGTATCTTATTTCTGCTCCCACCTTTATCTAAAGCATTTGCGTTATCAAGTTGTAGGCATATCCTATATAACTGATTGTTCTAACATTTACTATAGTAATTCACGCTCTCCACAGCTTATATGTTTTATCCTGCGTTTACAGATTATCTTTTCGCCTCGCTCGTTCCTATCCAAGTGTTCGTCATTGCGTTGTTATGCGCTAGCGTTTGTGTCTCATCTTGGTAAAGGATATTTTCTTGCTCGTTGGTTCGATAAACTGTCCACCCTTTTTTCAAACATTAGGTTCCTAGACCTCTGGTGACTGTTCACCTTTGCAGTAGATTATTTTGAGGTGAAAAATATTCAATATTCCTCAGCTCCCTGATCATTCGAACTAACAAAACGTAATTTGTCTTTGTCGTATTCTATCTAAATCTCTGCTCCGGCACGATGTTTATTTACTTACCTATTATCATTTCGTTGCGCCTTTACTAGATTGTAGAATTTATCGAAGCATCGCTGGGACGCTCCAAACGAACTTTAAAATTTTCCAAAGCCTTTCTCGAGAAGAGGGCTTGCATACGCGACACTGTGCGCTAAGGTAATACTTCACCTTCATTTTTACTCACCGCAAAGCATGAAGCTATCGTATGTGTTAGTACACCGTGATTGTATCTGCTCATCCTTGCCTTTGACATTCCGCTACCATGGGATCACGATGACTCCTGTTTACTTTAATCTGAATCACAGCCGCACTTGGGCTCACTAATCATCATCCTGTTGCCCCGTCGTGCAAACCGGAGTAAAATTATTCCACAGTAGTTCACCCTGCGTGCATCTGCCGTCCATTTGTTCCTGACTAAAGGCCATTCACCTCTAATCTACTATGTGACATTGTTTACCCCAAAACGTTGTATTCCCATGTTGTCTTCCCGAATTTTTCTCTACGGCACTTATCAAGTCCTTCTTTTTTCCCTAGGTTCCTGCATCACAGTTGTGGGCTGTGCCGCTTTCCATCACTCCCCCCAGAGTTATTTGTCTCTGCATCAATCATTTGCACATCTTACCCCATTCCCAGCTTTTGTTCCAAGTTTATTTACCAGTCCTTTTATCTTTTTCTGTATTTTTCGCCCCTTTCTTTACGTTTCCCTCGCTAACAATGCAACCGTTTACATTTCGTGTCGGCTCTCGTCTTATCTGCCGTATGATCTTGTCTTTCCTTACTCATGACTGATCCACTTGTTTTTTCAATGTCTGCTGTCTCGAGTCGAATGGGTTTGTGTGGGAACACTATGTATATACTTGGTATATTCTCGTTCGACCGTTTTCTCTGTAGCTTTGTCTCATTGCCTCTTGCTTTTACTTCTGCTTCGCAAAAGTATCTGAAGTTCATATGCCATCATTGATGACCCAGTATCGTGCGGCTGATTTCTCCGGATTCGAACGCTTTTCTTGTATATACTTAGTGCAGTTTGTTTACGTGACCTTCGTGGCGTTGTTTCGTTTTGTTACAAGTTTCTTTTTCACTGGCTTACTATTCAACTTTATCGATTTCTGCTCTTTGCTTGTTGGGTGTTTATTGATATACGGTTTTGGTTTGGTAACCACGGACGATGCTCGCAATTTTACGGCCATCTGGAATAAATTTGATGGCCGACACTTTTGAAATAGAGAAACACACTTCTACTTGTTCGCTAAGAACTTCATAACAATCATTATGCAAATGGCTCTCTCCGACTTTACTCATCAAGAGGGGTTCCGTTGTGTTGTTGACTACCGTTCCTCGTGTACACATGATAAACAACGCGTCAACACAGCTTGTGATTCAAGTGCCGTATGACTTTTGATAAGCGCTCTATCAGTCAACGCTAATCAACCTGACCACGTTTAAGTGTTTCCAGGCTGCTCACCACTTTGCTTGTCCAGCTAATTTTTCTTTTCCCTACACGTAGCATGCACCTTTCGGTTCCCGTGCCCAGGTCTATCGCATTCATCCTTATGCTTCAGTCCGGCTGCTCGTCCAGTCGAGGTTGCCTATCGATCGCTCGGACGTATCTTCTTCCAACTCACTTCATACTCGTGTTAACACCTGCGCTCGCTTCTTTGATACATTTGCGCACCAAATCAAACGTTTACATTTCCGTTTTTTTTTTGTGGATTGCCATCCTGCGATGCATGTCAGCAACAACGACCTATCAAGCCTCTACAAAACACCTTTTCAATTCATAATGTCTCATAAACTCGGGTTATTGCTCCTCTATGAGACGGTTTTGAACGAACCCTGGCCCATTTGAACGGCGCATTCGTGATACTGCGCCATTGCAGTTGTGGACAGACACTGAGCTTTACATAAACCTTTCGCACGAGTTTCGATATTATTACTCGCTTCACATTCTTTAGCACTGGAAATGAGGTGCCATCACGGTGAGACTGAACGTTAACGTGGTGCGTGAGTTAGTGTGCCTCCCAATCTATTGGGCTATGCTTAGTGGTGTTTTTAGCACCAAATTGGTCAATGGTTAGTGTTGTGTACGAAAAGTCAACTGCACAAACGGAAGTAAGAAGGTTTCTCCGGTAAACAAACTACTGTAATCTGATAAGTGTCTAACTACGTGAGTACCTTAAGGCGTCGCAAAGAGAAGGATGAACCAATAGGGAAGCGGAGAAATTTGCGCTTATGTAAGTATATCTGGGGTTGTGTGCGTGTGTCTGTCTAGACTAGCCGGCAAGCATGCTGATGGAATACACAACATCACCTCTCCGCTCAATCATGTAATGCGTCGAAACCAAATCGATTCGGTGGTCTTGGTTCTCGGCCCGTCCTGCGGAGCTGCGTGCTTTGCGTAGTTTCGTCAGTGGAGGTTGGTGGCACATGCTCTGTTCGTCTGCTACTTGTGGATAGCCTCAGTGCGTTGACTGTGCGGCCATCTTCCAGCCGGTAAGTACCTGGCCCACATGCGCACGTTTTTCTTATCGGATCTGATGACGTGCGCTGTCCTTTTAACACAGCGTTTGCCTTCACGCGCACGAATGTTCCGGGCTGGGGCGGAGTAGTAAGCTTCCGGTAAGTAGTCTGATATCGATGGCGACGATCTAACTCGTTGGAATTATTGATTTCAGGAATCGGAAGCGCGGCATTCAACTTTGTCCGAAGGGCACGCCTGTGCATGAGTTCAGCTGGCGTTTTGTCGGTGATGTGCGATTCGGCAACAAAATAGCAATTGTAGAACTGCATCCTCTCAATCTGTACCAGATAAGCGAATAGTTTGGATACTCTCTTTAAAGGATCGATTGAACCGCTTTATTATACCGTTTGCCGCTGCATTATACGGAGTTGTACGTGGGTGTCGGATGGTGTGAAGTTGAAGGAACGAAAGAAAATCCTGACTGGTAAACTGCGGACCGTTGTCCGTCACTATCTCCTCTGGTAGTCCGAAACGAGAGAACATGTATTTCAGCCAATGAATAATTCTGGCAGTAGTCATCTCTCCACACAAATGGACTTCCAGCCATCTACTGTAAAAACATATCGCCCCCAAACAGTTCCTTCGATGCTAAGGCGCTGAGCTAAATGGATCTATGATGTCAAGTGCTTTCTTGGCCCATGCTCGCATAGGATAGTCAATGGGTTGTATAGGGGAGGAAACCGGCCTTGAACTCTTGTCTGCCCTTTGACATGAAGATCAGTCATGAACAAGTTTTTCTATTTCCTATGGCATTCTGGGCCACCAGAAGCATGCGTCAATCTTGCGTTTCCTACGCTTATAGCATGACCTTTTGCATCAATCTCCTAGGAGCCACAAATTTTTCGCTGCGCATTAAACACCCATCTATAAATGAAATTTCGTGACGCAACACATAGTACGGACGAAACTCGCCTGTACTCTTGTTATTTTGTGGCCAACCATTTAGCAGAAACCGCTGAACGCGGCAGTGTGTCGCCTTCTGGAGTTCTTCCTTAGAGCTGAGATTGGTTCATTACTCAGGGAAGACACCAGTAACCTCTAATTATCATCCTCATTATTCTCACTTTCGTTTAGTGACACTCGTGAGCGTCCATCCGCTATCTGCTTTTCACATCCGTGACGGAATTTAATTTGAAAATCCTATGTTAACAAGCGTGCATACCATCGATGTATCCGAAGTGGCCAGATACCATTTGTCCCCCGAATAAGTAAGCTAGTTAGCGCTGCGTGGTCTGTACGAAGAGTGAAGCGTCTTCCAAACAAGAACAAATTCCACTTCTCACAGGCCCAAACGCAGGTAGGGGCTTATTTTTCCCCGGCAGAGTAGGACAGCTGTACCGCCGACAATTTTTCTGGAAGCGTATGCCATAAGTCTTTCATGCCCATTTTGAATTTAGGATAGTATAGCACCCAACCCAGTGTTTGAGGCATCAGTAGTGATAATCGTTGAGTACGTCTCGTCGAAAATCGCCATGACTGGTGTGGAAGCAATGCGGCGTTTTGTGTCGTCAAATGCCTTTTGTTAGGGGTGATCCCAAACAAATACACTTTTTTCCTTCGTCAGCTCATGCAGTGACTCAACAATGTTCCTGAAATCCTGCAGTTAACGTAGGTTGTACGGACATTTAGGAAATGCTTTATTTCGTTGGTGTTCTGTGGACGAGAAGCCTCGGTGATGTCACGCGCGTTGTCAGAACTCGGCTCCATACCGTCCGTTATCATGTGGCCCAGGAATCCGATTTCACCAGCATTAAATTTGCACTTCACGAGGCTTAACTTGAAGTGAAAATCATGTAGTCGACGTAACACAACGTGCAGTCGTAAATCATGTTCTGATGTCCTACGGAATACACAAATGTCGTCCATGTAAACTATTTGGCCAGGTAAATTGACAAATGAGTGAACCATACACTTTTGCCAAGCTACTGAGGCTGAACTCAAGCCCGTTGGCAAGACTTTGTACTAAAAGAATCCGTCCATAGTAAGAAATGCAGTCAGTGTTCTTGACTCCTGAGTTAGAGGCATGTTGAAAGAATGCCTTCCTAAGGTCTAATTTTGAAAAAATCGGGCGCGGTTGGAAACACCAACTTTTTGATCATGATTTGACAACTTATGTCCTGCAAGTTGTTACATATTCTCACTGCACCATCTTTCTTGAGGACTGTAACCTTAGGCTAGACCCATTCAGAACAGTTAATGGGTTCAATGAGCTCATTTGTCGTAATGCTGGTGAAACAGCCTCTCTTCTGGACAAAGGAATTGGACATAGCTGAGCAATAGCTACCGGCTTAGCATCCTGCTTCAGACATATGCGGTGAACGGAGGAGGGAGCGCGCCCTATTGTTTGTTCAAACATTTTTGGGTACTGTATGTATAGGACTGATAGGTTAACCGCCATGATCCGCATACGAGATAGAGCCGGCGTGACTTCCAGTGCAACCATAGCCTTGCGCCGGAGTAGGGGACGATTATTTCCGCGGGTGACGTACACAGCAACTAATGCTTTCACGGCCCCAAGCTGCAACACAATCACCACAAATCCCCGTATTTCTACCGGGGCCTTTGTATAACTGTCAAATCGATAGGCTGAAGGATGTAACGGTATGTCATTTAGGTGAATGTTATAAAAACTACTCGGTACTATAGTGATAGGAGAGGTTGAATAAAGTTCCATGTCAACATGTGTTGTTCTATCGTGTGCAATAACAGTAACCATACGAATGTCAGGCGTAGGTAGTTTTGGCTCTGGACAATTGGAACGATAGTTGGACACAGTACCTGTGTTATCAATGGAAAATACATTTTCAGATGACTGTAACTGCTGACCGGAAATGGAATCTGTAGGATGCAACTGGTAAATGCGTACTGAACGACAACGGGCAAAATATCCACGCTTACCCTGTCTATGTCTGGTCATCCTTTACAGTATTCTGCCCACGACATACAATGTATTGACTTTCTCTTCAAACAATCCCTTAATGTTTCGGCTATAACAGATGATAATGGCATCGAGTAGGCTGCATAGGGGTGAGCATGGTTTTGCTCAGGTCTTTTCGTCTTCTTATTCCTCGTCTTGCGCTTTTTCACCCTTATAGTCCCCTTCCAGCTCCACTTTTACCCCCCTCTTCTCAACCCCCAATTCTTAGCCCCCCCCCCCGCCATCTCGTTCTAGCAGTCGTTTGTCCTCTAGTTTTAATTCACAAATCGCACAGCTTCACTTCTGCACTGTCTGCAGGTTTTTATCCAACCAATCGGACGTCAGTTCATCCGTTCCTATTTGGATCCCTCGATTCTCGCTAGGACTGGTATGTCAGCGTACGCAGTTTGTTACAGTTCGGCCACTAGGCAGCACTTACTCGAACACTGGAGACCCTATCGGTCGATATCTGCTGTTTATCGGAAGCCCACCCGCATGATTCGGGTTCCGTACTTACCCTGCGATCCCCCACCTGCGACACTGGCGGCCCTTTTTCATCGCACTTGTCCTGAGATGACGCAGCTTCAAATGCCGGTCTAGTCGGTGTGGACATTTATCTGAGTCCCCGGTCTGAATCTGCCCTGTTATACTCGATCGAAGCCATTAGCCGAATGTGCACCGTCCGAATAACTGGCTCGTTCAATCTTCGAAGCTGCGCAGGACCAATAGGCGCATGTTTTGATTACTGCCTATACGCCCACAGAATAGCGCTGACTTGGTGAAAGACTTC